CCCGGCTATTTTTTGGTTGCAGCCGTCATTGTTGTTTGGCGGGTCCGGGCTGGGGATTTGAACCCGCCACCTTAGGTGTACATGGCTAGCGCCTTAGCCGGTTGAGCTATAGGCGCCGAGCCGGGACTGTGATTTTTAATGGCTTCTCTGAATGAGTAAAAAGTAAGATGTGTGGAGGACAGTGATCTGTGATAATCACCCTTAATTTTCTATGCTACATGGAAACATATTCAGAATAGCCTCTCAGAAAAGTATTGGGTCAAAGACCCAATCAGTAAATTCAAACTTGATTTAAAGGGCCCTTCTGATTCCGTGAGAATGAAACAAATTAAAAACCGTGTGTGTGTTGTCCCTGCTTGCCTGTGTGTATGTTGTGGTTCTCAGGTTGGGCCAGTCAGCATTTTGGGCAGTGACTTTTGTAGGGAATCTTGACGCTATCAATTTGCTCCAAGGGAGTCAGATGTACAATTTTGATTTGAGGTAGTCTTTTTGTACGTGTGTGTGGTTTTTGGCAATAATTTTATAACATTTTCAGACAGCTCTCTTAAGCAACTTTTAGTTACAAAAGAGTACGTTTTGAAACAGAAATCAAGAGATAGTGATAAAGTTAAGATTCGTCTTCTCTTCCCCAACCCTCCTTCCCCCCACATTGCTTTAAAAAATAACAGCCAACTGTAAACCGATCCAAGGGAGGAATTCCTCTCAAGACCAGGAATACTTGTGTTTTTCCTTAGCAACTGGTTTATTTTTATCTTAGGGACCTTGTAAATTGTGGAACAGATTGCCTTTCTATCTTTATATTGGCTGCTAGTAAACTTAAAGCCAGATTTGTGTACCACCATCAGGGGGAAGGTAATTTCTCATCTTTGACCTACGGGAGCCTATTTAGATTCACTCCTGAGTTGTTTTTTTTTTTTTTTTAACATGACCCTAACAAGCCATTAATAGCTGTTTGGTTTCTCATATGACAGATGTTTCAGGCTCATCTCTCACAAATATACACAAGACCCCATTGATTGTATTTTATATACCAATGTAATTTCCCCACTCCCCCTTTGATTTCATTACCTGTTCTTTTTATCCTATAGACATCTTTTAAAAATCCTTTCTGGAACAAAGAGGGGAATGAATGATAGATAAATCCCCTGGCTAGGATCTAGTTGGTGAGCGGTCCAGGCTGTCTCTATTTTAGACCTCTCCTTCAGCCCCCACTCTTTAGGACACTTTATTTTCAGGAGTTGGCCAAAGGCAGAGAGGGGGAATAAACTGAAATCAAGGAGACATTGGTGCTTTTAGCTTCTCCGTTAAGGTTTAGAGAAAGGAGGGAGAGACTGAAAGCAAATCTAAAATATTCCAATTTAGGATTCATGCCTCTTGGGTCCCCAGGTTCTAATTGTCATAGATAATTGGAGTCAGTTGTTAAACTTGTATCTGAGAGTGGTGCATGGCCCTGAGCCTCATGCCTTCTATCTGGGAAGGGGATTCTTTGCAGCCTAGGAGTTCATTAAAAAGTTTATTCTAGAAATGAAGAATCAATGCTGTCCTCTGAGCTCTGGGCAAACCAGTCTCATTTCTGTGTGATAGAAATAACACTAAAGAAGCACAGCTTTAGAGAAAGGGATGTCAGACTTAAACAGGCATTACAATCTCCTGAGAGCTTGTGGAAGCGCACAGATGGCTGGGCCTCACCGCAAAGTCAGACCCAGAAGGTCTGCAATGGAACCCCAAGAATCTGTGTTCTGTTCTTGCCAAATCCCAGATGGTACTGGTCTTGCTGACCCTGGCACTACCCTTGGAGAATCACTGGCTAAGATTTTCAGTTAGCCTTTTAGAATAAGGTTTTAACCTATCCTCATAGACTTAGTTTATATTCTAGAAGTTAGTCTGTATACTTAATAGAAGTAGCTGGGCATAGTGGTTGGGAGGCTGAGGTGAGGGGATCACTTGAGCCCAGGAGTTTGAGTCTAGCCTGGGCAACATAGCAAGACCCTGTCTCCAAAATAAATATAAATATATACATGTATATATATGTGTGTGTTTATGTATATATGTGTGTTTTATATATACACACACACTATTAGAGCCTCTTCATGAGAAAGTAAGATATTTAAAAAGAGCTGACAGGAGATTTGTTTGGTTATCTTTAAACACAGTCAGTTCTATTGATTTGTTTTTGTTTTTTTATATCTAGTAGTCCAGACTGTGTTTGGCACTTTTATTTGCTTTCTTATGTGAAGTTCACTGTAGGACGCATTTCTCACAAGGGCAGGATGGTGGAGAAGGACCTGGTTGGAAAGCCAGTGACCATGTCCTCAGCTCACCCTCCTGTGAGGAACATGAGTCCTCTGTGTCTCAGTAAGAGTCATATGGTCTCTTTGGGCTGTTCTTCCTGACAGGGATCCCTAGGACATACCAAGGGCCCAGGCCCTGCACTCATGGGTGGCTTCCTGATAAATGCTTGTTGAAATAAAAGTTGTCCAGGGACTAAACAAAAGCAGCACCACCTGATCTTTTCCTCTTCACTCAGACCATGCTATATAAACTCCACAGAGTCCTAGGTCCACTTTTCTATAAGGGACTAATAGAGACTTAGGGTTTTAATGTTGTAATTATCAGAAACACTTTTCATCTCTTTGCTAAGATCTTGAGTAAAATAGAGAATATAGAATTCAAAGGAACTTTAGTAGATAAGCATTTTAAGAAGATCTTGGTTTTCTTTTTCACTTGATCTTAGCCAAAAGGCCAAGAAACAATTCTCTTTTTTTAATTATAGAAATGAAACAAAAGATTTTTTTTAAGTCTAAGTGTAAATAAAGCTCTAAAGCTTATCTTTCAGTCTTTTCTATAGGCATTTACACAGATACATTTGTGTATGTACAGAAATTTTGAACCAAATGGGATCAAAGTACAACCACTGTTTGCTGTTTGCTGTCCCCCCAAACTTAATTTCTTCCCATCCATGTCAGTACATATTAGCCTGCCTATTGGGGGGAGCGGGTAGTGGTGGTGGATAGAGTCTCATTCTGTTGCCTAGGCTAGAGTATAGAGTGCCATGATGTCAGCCTAGCTCACAGCAGCCTGAAATTCTTGGGCTTAAGTGATCTCTTGCCTCAGTCTACCAAGTAGCCAGCGCTAAAGATTTGTGCCACCACTTCTGGGTAGTTTTTCCTTTTCTTTCTTTCTTTCTTCTTTTGCTTTTTGTTTGTTTGTTTTTCCATTTTTAGTAGAATCAGGGTCTCACTCTTACTCAGGCTAGTCTCAAACTTCTGAGCTCACGGGATCCTAACGCTGCAGCCTCCCAGAGAACTAGTATTACAGGCATGAGCCACTGGGGCCAACCTACTTAATTGATGGTGCAGTAGTTTTCCATTGTATAGAAGTTGATTTTACTATAAAATTTATTATAGCCAATCCTACTCTGGACATTTAAGTTGTTTATAATTTTTCTGTTGATGCGACAATGAATATCTTATTCCTAAATCTGGGAACAGTTAATTCTTTTTTTTTTTTTTTTTTTTCTCACTTTCTTGCCTATGGTAGAGTGCCATGGCATCACAGCTCACAGCTACCTCAAACTCTTGGGCCCAAGTGATCCTCTTGCCTCAGCCTCCCAAGTAGCTGGGACTACAGGCTACAGGCATCCACCACCACGCCTGGCTACTTTTATTTTGGTTCTTTTTTTTTTTTTTTGGCCGGGGCCGGGCTTGAACCTGCCACCCCTGGTATATGGGGCCAGCGCCCCTGGCTGTTTTTAGAGACAGGGTCTCACTGTCGCACAGGCTAATCTTAAACTCAAGTGATCTACCTGCCACTGCCTCCCAGAATGTTGGGATTACAGGCATGAGCCAGTGTACCTGGGCTTGTAGGTTAATTCTGAAATAAAGATTTCTAGAAGTTGAGTAGGATCAAACTGGATTCATTACCGAAAAAAAGGATAGTTTCATTTAGACAGTCTGTTAAAATAGCACACCATGTTGATTGGTCAAAGAAGAAAACCATTCAATCATGTATTTGATAAAAATAATCAATTCTTGATTAAAAATCCTTACAGCACGGGACCCTTATTCTTTCGTGAAGCCAGCTTTATGATCTGTAATGAATTGTTGGAAACATTTTCAGTAAAGTTGAGAAGTAAGCAAAGAAGTCTGCTTTTACCTTAGAAGTGCTTGGCCAGTGGAAGTAGAGACCAGAGTAGATGTATAAAGAGCAAAAAGGAGAAGGTTGCAAATGGACATTTTTTGCAGATGATGTGATATTGTATCTAAAACTAAAAGCTATTAAAAATAAAGTGATTCAATAAAGACAGACTTTTCATTATGAAAAATAATTAATACTTATTAGGTTCTTCCCTCGTGCCAAGAACTTTGAAGCACTTCAAATAATTTACTTTATATGGGTTATCATTTGATTTTTACCTAGCCTAAGAGGTAGGAGCGTTTTTAAAAATTTTTTTTTTAAAAAGAGACAATCTTACTCTGTCATCCAGGCTAGGGTACAATGGCCCAATCACAGCTCACTGCAACCTGGAATTCCTAGGCTCAGTTGATCCTCCTGCTTCAGCCAGCTGAGCAGCTAAGGTGGCAGGTGCCACAACAACTGGCTAATTTTAACATTTTTTGTAGAGATGAATTTGAAATCTTGCCATGTTGTGCAAGCTGGTCTCAAACTCTGGCTTTAAGCAATTCTCCCATCTTGGCTTCCCAGAGTGCTGGAATTACAGATGTGAGCCCCTGCACCTGGCCCCATTTTTATCTCCATTTTGCTAATGAGAAAACCTAGGTTAAGATCGGTAATTTGACTACAGTTATTAAGCAAAAGAGTACCTGGGCCGGCACTCAAACCAGTCTGTCTGACTTCTGAGGCTGTACTTTAACCATCATTACCGCCATATACTTGTATGGCCTTGGGCAAATCATTTCAACTCTGGGGCCATAGTTTCTTTCTCACCTGTGAACGTATAGTGGTTGATTAGCTCGTCTCAGAGACCTGAGGTGCTGACGTCCTGAGTGTATGTGCACACATTTGTGGGCCAGGGTGGGGAGTATGTGCAGGAACCAGGTGTGTTTACTATCTAGGGGAACCTTGGGGCCAGCATTTGTGCTTGGTGGGATCACTTCTCCCCAGCCTTAGCTTTATTTCCTCATCATGGTCAAACATCAGCTGGGGGTTATTCAAAGAAAAGATTAAGGATTTCCCCCATTTGTTTATTTTCTCTTATCTACTATGTTTATAAATAGCTAATTCTCAGAGTGCCTCAACTAAGGGGGCTTAGATACAGATGCCTGTGTTTACCCTTGGCTTTGATTTCCCTTCCTGGAAGTTTAGAGGTAATAATCCAAGACATTCTGCTTGAGTGCTGCTTTGCCCTGGTGTAGAGATGGAACAGAGAAGGGTTTCAGGGCCTGGGATCTTGGAAGTGGCCACTGTGTCTGCAGAACCCATAAGCACAGAATAAACATTTAAACTAGTGGTTCTCAACCTTCCTGATGCCGTGGCCCTTTATACAATTCCTGTGGGTCTCAACCCACAGGTTGTGAACCTCTGATTTAAACCTTCCTCTTTCTTCCCTATTGCCCCCACAATAACTAGAAACCCAAACTGAAGCTCACTGAGGCTGCCTTCTTACTGAAGTTGTTCTCTTATGGGGTTTTCCTGTGCTAATGGTGGCTTCTGTCTTCCTCTGCAGGTATGGAGAGAAGGGAAAAGCCATTCGGATTGAGAAGGTCATATACACCGGGAAGGAGGGGAAGAGCTCCCGCGGCTGCCCCATTGCAAAGTGGGTGAGTGTCCAGCCTCACTCTCTTCACCTCCTTGCTTTGTGTAGATGAGCCGGCTGCAGGCCTGGGCCAGGGCTGGGCTGGGAGTGGGGCAGGGATATAGGCAGTAACATTTTTACTGTCCAGGTGAACTTTGGAGCTGGTGTCTGGTGCTTGGTTAGGGTCATTTTCTCTTAGCCTCAGTGTTTGTCCTTATTTTGTTTAAATGCCAGTCCCTGGGTCCTGGGCTGGCCTCAGGACTGCAGTAGTCATCACAGCCAGCTCATACTGTCCCCCTGGTTCAGGGCACAGGAATAGGTAAAGGGGGAGTAGGGATGCTATCATTACCCCACTGGGCCCCCACTACATACTGTTTGAGTCCCCTTCCTCTTTCATGTTTGTTTGTTTCTTTTTCTTTCTTTTTTTTTTT